CTCAACGCCGCCGTCACCTTGTTTGACAGGTTGCGGGGACAGGAACCTCCGGACTACGTGTAGGTAGCTGCAGAGCCCAGCAAACCCAAAGAATCATTGGAACCAATCACCGGTCTTCTCCCGAAAAAGACCCGGGCAACTTTTATCGTAATCCGCGTTCGTGCGAGCTCTTCGGCTTCGTGGGCATAGGCGTGGGCTGGAGAGACGACGGAGAAGCGGGCTACCTCAAGAGTCGAGGGCGGCGGCGAAAAAGCGGTAGACATCAGCCTTTGCCAGAGCTAAATTAGAGATGAGAGTCTCTGTGTAGGACGAGATGGGCTCTCTTGGCCGACTTTTCTCGTAATCCGCCCAATCACTTTTCACCCTTTTAGCGCCGCCTCCCCACTTACCGTTTTGCCTCCGTCCGAACGATATGGATATGGGAGCTGGTGGTTCAGTTTTTTGACCCTACCACGTGATGAAAAGACCCGTTTCCTGACCTTCCCGCTCCCATAGATAAGAGCAGTGAGGGCCAGACTAGTAGTTGGGTCGGTGACGACCCGCGAATCCCTGGTGTTGTATGTTTTTTTCCCTTCCATGTTCTGTGTGCTTTTCTTGTTGTTGTTGGGTTTAATCATTTTGATATCTTTTTCCTTTTTTGTTATTTTTGTTGGCTATTTGGTTTAACATCGATAGTAGTGGCATGAGGTGCATATGTGCCTATGAAGATTGAATATATATCTCTCAATATGCATTTTAGGAACCGACAAAGAGGCAGCTAGGTAGATGCCATGACCTAAAAGGGACTTGTTTTCTTGTTCCATAACACCAAGAAATCTATACCAACAAGATATTGGGCATGACCCAAGCCCACAGTAGAATAAGAATAGATGGAACTCACGCGCTCCAAAGCACCACGCCCTCAAGCAAAAATCTGGCTACTCGTAAAAACACCATCACCGAATCACCAAATCACCCATCCATCCAACCTCCTCACCTACTGACCTTACGCCCTCCCATCAAGTCCCTCCCCCCTCCTAACCCTCTCCTCCAAAACATCATGATACCACCCCGTCCTTTCCACCACAGGCGCATGTCCCATCCCCTCCTCAATCAGCCCAACCTCCGGCTGAATAACCTCAATCAGCTTTCTCCCATGTGACACACTAATCATGCCATCCTCGGTACCATGCATCACCAAAATCCTTTCCCTCCCGACCTCATCCGCCATTTTCTTCAATTGCTCAGCACTCTTATAATGCCAACCCGCAGCAATCAATTGCAGCAAAAATCCCTTCAACCCAAACCTGGCAGGGTCAAGACGCTTGTGCATTTCCTGCGCTACGAAGCGCATAGCGTTATTCTCGAATTTCCCGTACTTTTGGTCAGGAGCCGGGCGAGGAATTTTGGGCGATAAGGGGTTTGGCGGGCCGCATTTGGACGTGGTACTCGGGTCAGGCACTTCGCAATCGTCTGGCTGTTCGAGCCAGGAGTGCGCAAACAACTGACGCGCCGTGTCGGCGATGGACTGGTCGACGGGCTTAGGCATGAGCATCCTAATCCTGTTGGCGACGTTTTCGGCGAAGCTGAGGTCGGTGTTTTCGATGGCGGCGGCTGTGCAGCAGAGGTTTAAGGAAGAAATAGCGGTGGGGATGAGGCAGGCCAGTTCTTGGGCGATCATGCCGCCTAGCGAGAGGCCGACTACGTGGAGGGTGCGTTCTGTGGGGATGGGCAGTGGGGGAGAATGGGATGTGACTGAGGAGGAAGATGAAGAGGGGGAAGATGGAGGAGCGGGAAGCCAGCCGATGTGCACGAGAATGTCGATCCAGTCGCGGGCCATTTCGCTGCTGCTGTAGCGCATAAGAGGCTTGTCCGAGTCGCCGATGCCGCGGTTGTCGAGGAGGAGGACCGAGTACTTGTCACGGTTTTGGTGGCCGAAGTAGAGGGTTTGACGCTGCCAGGCGGATTTCAGACCTCCGAGACCCATGATGAACTGTGAGACTGGTGTTAGTGATGGTGTTTGGCTGTGAGGAGAGGATATGTCGGAGGGCTCATACCAACACCTTGATGGGCCCTTCACCGTGGATCTCCCAGCTCACGTTGAAAGGCCCACCGCGGCCGACGGCGACCGGGGTGAGGCCACTCTGATCGGGCTCGAGATTCCATATCGCCGTGGGAAAAGCTGGATGTTTGATGGTCTCGGCTACAGTGGGCACTTGAGGCTTGCGAGTTGTTGTTGGGGCCCTGGAGGAAGAAGTGTTAATGAGTGCATAGTATTTGTGTGAGCATGTTAACATTTACATGTTGGGGTATTTTGGAAATAATGTGGACGGGAGGGATGTGAACCAGTGGGAGCTAGATTATTATTGTACTGAGATGAGATGGTATCGACGGTCAAAGCACGCTGTGGGCTAGTTATAGGAAATATCTTAGTATTCGTGGTGGCGGCTCTGGTGTTGTTCAGGGGAGTTGGGGCACCTTGTCGGCCAGCTTCCACATGTGATTGCACCGGTCTCCGTTGCAGTGACGTACCTCGCCAGTGAAAGACTCCGATTGGTCACACGCCGTATCAAAGTGGGACGGATTTGATAAGCTTCATCGGCCCGGCTCTAAGGACGGGAATGTCATGGAAGCGTTCCGTCGTGAAGGAGTTGGCGCAATCCTGGATGAAGACTCACATCGTGAACATGTTGGGGCTCAAGACTGGAGAGATTGTCGGGGAAGTCCCCGGTTCGATCCGTGGAAACCCAATTCCATGTCAAGAGGGCATAGTTCGTGGCCAACCATACACACCTTCATCATCTGGCAGCGCCAGTCTCAATATCAATAGTATTACAAGTGCTCCTAACTTTTGATGCTAACCGCGCTGGTATCCATCAGGTATTGTATGTATGCAGGTAACTTTTGTTCAAACGCAGCAAGCCACCTTGAAAGCAATCAACAGCACCTCAGCCCAAATTCACATCTTAAACCATGACAAAGCCAATACCGCTCAAGTTATCCTCATCCAACTTGTTCTTCTTGTCAACACCACCGTGGATAGGGTTGGCCTTGTAGTTGAACAGGTAGTAGTGAAGCTGGCCATCACCGGGTCCGAACTTCTGCTTCTCCAAAAAGAGAGCGTTATCCATGAGAGAAAGCGCGTTGAACACATCAAAGTTGTGGCGCTTGGCGAGGATTAGAGCATCGGCCATCAGATCGTTCAGGCGCTTCTGAAGGGCACTCTTGTTGACGGGCTCGGTGAAAGCGGTCTCGGTGGCATAGTAGAACATGTAAGCGGCGCGGATGGAATTGTGCTTCGGGTGCTTGATAACGGTTGACTCGAGAAGGTAGAAGGAGAAGAAGTCGGTGATTTTGCCCGAGGCATCCTACATCAAGTTAGCGTGCGCGCTCAACTTACAATGAAGCGGACTGCATCACAGAACTTACCTCAACAACATAGGAGTACACAACCTGCTCAGCATAAGACTCCTTCTTGTGAAGGAGCCAGTGCTCCGTCTCCTCGCGGTTGAATACTGGGGTAAGCTCAAAGCGCTTTAGGTAACGCTCGAGCAAGCTGTGTACCGCATCGAGATCCTTGACCTGAAGTTCGCGAAGTCCCTTGGTCGAGGTCTGTTCGGGAAGGGCGTACTTGCGAACTTGGAAGGCCGGCTTGCTGTTGGAAGGGCACGGACTGAAACCAACCTCGTACAGCTTCTGCCAGTTGAGCGCACGGTGGTAGTAGCGGCAAGTGCTGACGGGCCTGGGAAGGACGATACCGCCGGTGTAGATGGCTTGCCAGATACCCTCGCGGTTGATGCGGCGAGTGATTTCCTTGATGAGGACGGGAGCCAAGCGCTTGCCTCTGAGCTTCTTGTGGATGCAGAGGAAGTTGACCTCGGAACCCTGAATAACCTTGTCGCGAACGCGGATTTCGGTAGGAACGGCAGCGATGAAAGCGCACAGAGTATCACCGCTACGGATACCGACGTGCCATTCCTTTCTCCAACCAGGAGACATGAGGGACCTAGCGCATCGTGATTAGTGACAAGCCAACAAGATATGACAGTACCTATCAACTCGGACTGGAAAACTTACCACTTCAGAATGGAGGTCGAGTACTTGAAACGGAACATGGCCTCGTCGTCCTCCACAAAGTGACCGTACAAGAGCTTCTCAACCTCCTGCATCTGCTTCTCGTCTGTGAGATCCATGGTGACCCATCGGAAAGGCGCCAGGTTGAGTGGGATTGGCTCATCGGGGATGTCTTCGATTTTCTGGATCTTGAGCGGTCCCTCCTCAAAGATGACGGGCTTCTCCTCGCCGAACTGGGGCACGGGCTGGGTGGCCCAGAACTTGTATGACGCCATATCCTTGCGGTTCTTTCCGCTGCTAGCGAGGCCGGTGATGATGTCCTGAATCTTGAGCTTCTTGAAAGCCTCCACCACGTCGGGAGCCGTCCCCGAGCTACCGGACGCCGCCAACAGCTCGTTGGCAAGGGCGGGGTTTAGGGCGATGAACTCTTGGATCTGCTTCTCGGTCAAGCCGCTGAGGGCCGACTTGGGGTCTGCCTGTGCCAGCGCCTCGGTCAACCCCATCTCAGCAGATGACTCGGTAGCAGCGGCCTTGTCCTTGTTCTTCTTGCTCTTCTTCTTTTTGTTCTTCTTCTTTGTGGAGCTGGATCCAGCCTGGGGGGTGCCTTCGGCGCCCTCATCTTCGGAACCGGACTCTTCGGCGGCGGCCTGCTGGCCTTCCTTAAGGGACGCAAGAGCCTCGGCGGCGGCCTGCTTCTCCTGGGCCTGATCAACAGGCTTGGACTCTTCGGTCGGCGGCATTGTTGACGGAGTGATGGATGCGAATTTCGGGGGTACTAGGTGGGGGTATCAAGGGATGTCGTCGTCGAGGTTGTCGTAGAGTCGCGTAGTACTATTGCGAACTTTAAAGCTGCTCCCACATCTAGGTGAGGGTTGTCGAGAAGTGAAAAGACCCGTGGGTGATCTGCAGATCGAAGAATTGGAAGAGACGTGGGGAATGACGGGAGAGAGATTGGAGGATTCTTGTTGAAATGACAGACGAAACTCCAGCTCCAATCCATGAGCTCCCGTCCCGCTCGGGGGTCGGAGGCTCCTCCTTACTGGCGTGTCGTGTCCCTGTTAGCGCATTCCCCCATCGTCTCACAGAAGGGGTCAGCGGGGCTAGCGGGGGCCAATGGACGGTGTCGCGGGGTCCTCCAAGGGATTCCAAGCTGGCAGGTGCAGGGGACAGCTCGGTACGCACCGAAGGTGAAAAAGTGGGGCTCTCAACGGCTTTCCTCGGGCATCATGTCACGACGTTGTCCCGTGAAACATGACACTCAAGACTGAAGAGTTTACTCTTCAGAATTCTCTATAGACAACCGGTAGATTTAAAACCGAAAAAATTGAGGAAAAAGCCCGAATGAAAGCCTCAGACTGAAAATCATGCAGTTGGCTGATGTCGAGGTCGAGACCTGACCGGATTGGGCTGTTTTCGATGTTGCTGCGCCACTCGCTGCTGCCTTCGTTGTCAAAGGAAGCTGACCACTCATATCCTCTTATTCTCAGCCTGGTCAACGACACTTCAATGTTTCTTTATCACCAGTTGATCGCCCACTCACTTCACCTTTCTTTCTTCGCCTCTATCCTCCTGTTTTTGTTTCCCGACTGACAATCTTGAACCGGTTGAGAAACATTTTCTTTTACAGTTATTCAACCCTAAGACTCTGTCTCCAAGATCGTCAGATTGTCACCATGGGAAAACCTTCACCACGTATCGGCGTCAGTGATGATGCCGTCTCCCTACACTCTCAACCTGGTGAACACTCACTCGCTGCTCCCCTGGACGGAAATCTGGACACCGATGCTCCAGAGCTGAACATCGACGACCTCCCGCCCCTCTACGACGAAATCAACGCCCTGGGAAGCAGTAGTAGTGCTCCTCTTCTCCCCTCTGGCGGCGGTGCGCCACCCTATATCAACCACCCCAACAACATCCTTCCTCCCGGAGACTGGGTGCAAAACTACAAAAGAGACGAGCCCACCGGCACCGAACTCTACCTTGACCCGCGCCTGGACCGCGACCCCAAGTTCCTTCAAGAGCACATCGAACTATGGTCCAAACAACCACCGCGGCCCTTCGTTCGCATTCACGGCACCCACAAGCGCCGCAAGGACATAACCGACCCGCAAAACGGGCGTCGTAAGAACGACTCGGAGCGAGTTACGGACTTTGACCTGCACATCGAGCTCACCCCCTACCTCTACACGGACGTCATCTCGCAAACCTCTCTGATGGAGCTGCGCACCGCCGAGAACGACGAAAAGGTCCGTCGCGGCACCATCCTCCGCAAGCGCGCGCCGGGTACTAGTCGCCATATCGAGGTCGGGCTAGCCGAGAAGCCGACGCTGGCGGAGTGGTGTCACCGGTACTGCGCCAGCCATGCCGGGCTCAAGTGCTTGACGCTGCAGCGGCGTGTGGTCGGGTTCGACGACCAGAAGATCGTGCAGAAGCTGACGGACATGGTGCGCGCGACCAACTACCGCGGCAGTCTGGACATCAGTTTCCCCAAGAAGGACGAGTACGTGCATGTATACAACGACTGCAAGACCAACAAGTGGCGGACGACATGGTGGATTGTCTGGCTGTGCATGTTCAGCCTCATGTTTCTCTTCACGTGGCCGTATTTGTGGTTCAGGACCAAGAGGTTCGAGACGGTCTTTGCGGATTGGCACTTTTCGGTCATGGGCACGGATGGCCAGAAGAAATATGCCAGTATCAGCGAGGATCAGTGGTATAACATGTGGGGACGGGCGATCAATCGCGCCGTGATGGAGAAGAGGCAGTGTACCCTGGACCAGCAGGATTTGCTGAACAACCAGGAGGGCCAGCAGGAGAGTTTTGGTCATCCTGTGGTGGACGGGGCGGCGAGCTTCGTCAGGGCGGGTGTCAATGCCATGAACGCGGTGAACCGCTCGCTGGGTTGGGGTTATGATGAGTTTTAAGATGTCGTAGATGCCCCTGGGAGAAGTGTTTCCGTGTGTTGGAGTTGTTTCCTAGACCTTTATTTACCGTTGCCCATGTGTTTTTTTATTCCTTATATGCTCCATGATTGGAAAGAACTGGCCATTGATATTTGTGGCGGTATCAAATGTTCATATTTAACGACACAGTAACGCATTTTCTATCGTACTTATATCTACACCATCCCATGGTTTCATACTCGTCATGTATGCCTAATATCTTCAGTTGTCCCATCAGTCCCGGCTGCTCTCAGGCTGCTCAACAAGCCTAAATGCCCTCATAACAGCCATCGGCACCGACGCATAAAACATGAGATTATTATGCCCTGCATCACCTGTTGTTAGCTTCACACTTCGCACTCAAAAACCAAAACAAAAGATCAGGACCGGGGTCAAACTTACCACCATAAGGCCACAACACCTGCCTGATTTCCACCCCCTCATCCTTCCAGATCGTCACAGCCGCCCTGTCCTTATCACTCCCGCTCTTCCCATTATTATCCAACCACCTCTCCACCGTCCTCTTCCCCTTCTCCTCGCTCAACAAATTCTCCACGCACCTCTCTACCTCTTTGTTTTCTTCTTTCTTAACCCTCTCGCACCCCTCATACTCCTCATCCCTTCCATCCCCATTTTGAATCCCAACCCCCATCTCCGCCTCCACCAACCCCCTCACCGCCCCCTTGAACAATTTATCATCCTCAAGGTACGGAATATCCCAATCATTCCTCGCATGAACCAGCGTCAAGTTCAACCTGCGACCATCTCGTTTCGCAAACCTTGTCAGCCGCGTAAGCCGATCAGCGCTAGGCCACTTATCCACGATCCGCGCCATGACTTTGCGCAGTAGCCAGGGTGAACAGACGGCCAGCGGGCGCAGGACGGGAAGCCAGCCGGCTATGGCGTACGAGGATAACATGGTGGGGAGGGAGGAGAAACCTGCTATGAGGATTATGGAGGCGAAGTTAGGGAGGGGTTTTTGGGTGCTGCTGGCTTTGTCTTCGTCCTCGTTGCTTCCACGTTCAGTTCCACTTCCATCGTCTGAGCTGCTGCATCCAACTTCACCTTGAGGGTTAGTCGGACAGCAATAAAATTCCGCCACTCCAGCAGCCACCGCCGTTCCGAGACTATGTCCCAACAAAACGATCCTTTCCGCTGGGACGCCACCAATTTTCGTAGCCCAATCGACTGCCGCTCTAGCGTCGAGAATCAGTCCTTCCTCCGTCGGCGAGCCGGTACTCAGGCCGAAACCGCGGTAGTCGATTGCCAAAACGTGGATCTTGGAGGAGACGGAAGTGAGCGCGTGGAAGGAGCGCGGGCGAATGGATTGCGTTATGTGGCCTGCGTTTCCATGGAAATAAAGTACTAGCCTGGCTTCGGGGTCATCGCGCAGGAGCTTGAAGTTGAGGGTGGTGGTGATATCTGGGACAAAACCGGCAGAAACAGAACGGTCTTGGGCGGATAGGCTGGGTTCGTGGCGGGCGTAAAGGCCGAGGGGGAGGATGTGCCAGGCGTAGATAGTTTGGTTGTCGATGGTTTTGAGAGAGAAGGGGGTTACTTGGTTTTCTTTTTTATTGTATTTGTTAGTCATGAACTTTGTTGTTGTTGTTGTTAAGTGTTTTGTTGATCAGACTACTACTAACTTGCAAACCCCCATCGCTCAGGCCGGTTGGGATTATGTGGTGGCCACCAGAGGGTGTTGACTTTGTGTGCATATACGGCACTTACCGAAGTGAGGTGATACTTGTTAGCACAGCCTGTTCACTTTTTACTTGGGGACAAGAGTTTCTACGTAATGATTGATTCTTACAATCGTTGAATACACGGAATTGAAACAAGACCGAGGAAAAGAGCGTATATCCCGACGGGAACACCGACGGCAAGGGCCGGAACGAGGTAGGCCGCCGAAGATGTCATCATCACATGTAAATGAAATGAAATATGAAACAAAATGAAAGTGTTGTTCCGTGTAAGTTCTGTGTATTTTTGCTGGTATTATAAAGGTGTTATTCAGATCGCTTTTGTCCCATCGTAAAGAGCGAGAAACATAATGTTCAAAACCGAACGCTTTGTGAAAGTTTGGTGTTTGTTGGTTGCAAAGTTGGAAATGTTGGTTCCAAGATTGCCAAAAGGGAAGAGCTGACGTTGGATGGCAAAGCGGGACTCGGGATGGGGGCTGTTATAGACTATATCAAGAAGGTTAGGGTTCAGTATGTGGCTATCACCCAATCCCGCTTTCAAACCGCTAAGGAGAATAATACTAGGCCCAGGCGCTTGAGGCTTAACCGCCGTCCCACCCATTGCACAGTCAGCCGCAATCCCGTGATGGACTTTGCTCACTATCATTCAGCGTCTATCAAAAACGTGTCTGTCTCCCGCTTTCACGTTGCCGCCATTGGCTTTCATCTCATGCTGTCGTATGCGTATGCGCAACACACGTTTGTTCGAAGATCATGACGAGATGATATGGGCATATCAAAGCTTTGACCGGCTTCACCATCTCCTCAATATTATCCTTCAGTTTCCCGCCCGCAAAATGATACATGGGATATGTAGTGTAGTGTAGACAAGATTAAGTTGCAAGCGTTTGGAACTTGGAGGGGGGGCGTCATTCGACAGCGACCAATCACAAGGCCACTTTCTCCTTTTATCACCCTATCCAGGATTAGTATCGGGCGGTCGCGCATGTTGCTCCCGTCTCCTACGGGCAGGTGTTGGAGGAGACCGAGAGGACAAGCCGACCATTCGGGACCATTTTGCGGGCAGCTGCTACCATAATCTTAGTTATCTACAAGGCGGCGGAGAGGAGCTGGCCCGGAGTACGTGCTCCTCTTGGCTACCTGGTAAGGTATGGTTGGACATGATCCCCGACCCCATCATATTTCTTCCACTCCTCTTCCATCTCTTCACAAGTTCACTTCGCAACACGTCCAACCGACCACCACCACCACACGTCCACCCACACTGCCGCGATCGTCGTCTTCTCCCCCCATTTAGACACCCACCCCCGTTCTTCTTGACTTCTCCATCACCAAGACACGTTCCCTCCTTTTTCGTTTCTTCCTCATTTACAGTTCCCATTCGGATTTACCTCTTTTTGTTCCTAGTCCCATTTTTTTCCACTTTCGCGACTGATACCCTCCTGATACACGTCATTTTACGCCTTTTGATACCACATTTACGTTCACATCCCCTCGACATTCGCGCTTGTCTTCCGATGCCGATTGCATAGTGCACCCCTCTCACGTCCAGATCACGACGAGAAACGTACCGGTTCGGGCCGCGTGCGTGAAACCATGACTACGGAAAAGAAGCGCAAGCTGCCTCCGCGCGCCGCGGCGAGGTCAGAGCAGGCCGCCAAGCGAAGACAGACCGACACGCCCCCGACCTCGACAAAGTCTTCCACGCCAGCGCCCGCGCCCCAAAAGGAACCCGAACCAGAGCCTGTTGTCGAGGAGCCGCCCAAGCAGACGTTGCCCAGTTCCATCGCAGCGGGAAAGCCGCTTCCTACCGTCGAGGAACCGCAGCCCGAAGACCTTTCGACCAAGGACTACCAGACTCTGCAAGAAAGGTGCGCACCCCTTCTTCACTCCCCGCACCTTCATGCGCTCTGACTGATTCTAACATGATCGCTTTGCAGTGGTGTTCTTCACGAGTCATTTGTCCGATCGCGCAACCAATGGATGAGCGAGCAAATATTCGAAAAGTACTGGACCAAGCCCATAAAGAAGAGGGGTGCTGTCATCGAGGAGCCCAACAATCCTCCCAAGGACAGCATGGTCAAGTTGGGCCAGGTGACCATTACGGTTGAACCACATGTCTTTGAGGCGACCATGTTCGCGGTTAAGGACCCCAACCCTCCTCCGCCAAAACCACCAACCGATAAGCGACCGATCCTCGAATACGGGCCCCCGAATGGGGTCATGCCACCTCCTCCTACACCCAAGCCCAAGTCAGTGGCAGCCTCGACGTCGTCAACACCTACGCTAGCGGCATCAGACGCGAAGCAGCCAACCACAACAGAGAAGGATCTAAAGGCCACCTCTGCAACAACACCACAAGCAGAGGCTAAGCCCCAAACACCAGGAACGTTGGCAGCGCAACCGACGCCACAGACACGGACGATCAAACCACCACCGAACGCGCAAACTGCTCCTAGTCCAGCTGCCCCGGCCCCGCCTACACTTGCGAAGCCCGCTGGTACACCTAGAGGTATAGAATCACTTCTTTCCCCATCTCCAACCCTGGCCACTCCGCGAGCTCCGACCACAGCACCAGTTGTTGGTGCGCAGCCATCCCGACCAGTACCCTTCCCAGCCACTGTCCCACCAAATGCTACGGCCCCGGCCACCCCGTCAATACCATCCGGTGTCCCTCCAAGGCCAGCAACAGGGGCGCCAGCAGCGCCAGCAGCTCCTGCCACGCCAAGACCCGCTGCCAATGGCGCGGCACCAGCCAAGCCAGCTGCGGGGGCAGATCCAATCATCCTTATGCTAGCCGAGAAGGCTGGTGAAGACCCTCAACTCAGAGATCTCATGAAACGGGTGGCCCAGGGAGAGGCCTCTAAGCAGGAGCTTGAGCGATTCCAGGGTATCATTGACGCCATCACGTCAGAAAGTAAGCGGAAAAGCAACATTCCAGCGCCACCAGCGGCGGACAAGTTATTCGTCGATGGGAAAACGGTTCAGTATTTCGCGGACGAGGTAGACGACATACTTGACATTGTTCTAGCATCCAACCCCAAGCAAAAGTCCTCTACTTTACAACCACCCGAAAATAGCGACGCCCTTCTGGTCTCGCTAGTAAAGATAGCTCTGGACGATGAAAAGACGAAGGAAATGGTCCGGCGTATAGCCCACAACAAGCCTCAACCCACCGATGCCACGGATCTCAAGGCGATTTTGGATGTCGCGCACTCTAATATCGTCAGTAAAACGAAGCAACAGCAGCGACGTCAATCAACGGCTTCGGCAGCTGGATCATCAAAACAAGCTAACGGCGCGAGCAATGGGGCCAATGGCGGCGCAGCAACAACCTCGGAGGCAAACGCTGCTGGAGATAAGAAGACAGAGAAGGTCGAAAAGGCCACAAAGGAGAAGGGAGAAAAGGCCGAGAAGGCATCTGCCTCACAGGCGCTTCGCTCCAAAGGCCCACCACCACCGCCCAAGCAACCAGATTACTCGGCCATAGTCTTTGAGTTTGCGGGAGGAAACGGCGATCGGTACCTTTTCCCCAAGTTCAGCCTTCTAGATTATCAGGAGATTTCCAGTACTAGCACTAGCACCAGCACTACCCAAGGACAGCAACAACAGCAGAAGCAACAGCAGGTAGTGGCGTCATTCTTGATTATCAGGAGAGGAAGCAAGGCCGAATACCCGAAGGCAGACCCGGAGCTTGACTATTACCAGCCCATGACGATAAGATTGTTTACGGCAGCTCCTAGTGGCAAGCATTTGCTGGATAACCTGGCGAGAGTCGTGGCGCCTGAGGAAGAGGTCAAGAGGTACATGGACGATATTATGGATACCATGCAACGAAGCGAATACGTCCTCTTAGCCATGAGGTTGCCCAGGCCAACCGAGACGCCAGAGAACGGCGAGGGAGAAAGTGGTGATAAGGCGGCGGACGGGGCCGCTGCGGCCGGGCCAGCGAAGGGACAAAACGCCAAGGAGAAAGAGAAGGAAAAGGACAAAGAGGTCGTGATGATCGATGCTCCATCAAGAGCGGAAGAGCCAGCGGCAGAACCCAAAGCGCCAAAGGCGGCCAGGACAGGAGGCGTGTTGTGGACGACGTCAAACAAGCAGATACCCAAGCCGGAGATTAGGGAGCTTCCACCGAGGCGGAACGCTAGAATCATGCTGGAGACTACGGAAGATGAACAGTACCAGAGCTTCATCCAGACGGTTACCAGAAAGGATAAGGAGGTGGTAAGGTGATTGTTTTCTTGGAGGAGAGGTGTATTATGTTAGATAGTTTTCGTCTCTGCCTGGAGTTGACTCACTCGGTGGAGTATAATGAACTGTTGGTTGATACATAGGTCTGGACTGGCCCGTTTGGCACTGTTGATTGATATCTTCCATAACGTGGGATTGCAGAAAAGCGTGGGTGAATTCTAGACAATGAGCTGGTGTGGTTTCTCGGAGATGTTACACGAAAGACGAAGGGTTCGTGAAGTGAATGAACAAAGAGATTCCTCGAGTACAAGTACCTTGCTGCCTTTTGGATGTCATGACTGATTCACCTAATGAATGTCCAACGATAAACAGATTCAATTAGATGAATGATCTCCTGTTCGATATATGATCTCCTATTTGATGGATTTGAAGCATTTAGTCTATTATACGTGAGCATACTCGAGTGAATGAGGTTCGGAGGTTGTTGATGTGAAGCCAGGTCATCACCATGTAGCACTCTTCAAGCTCAAGGTGCCTGTATATCCGTTCATGTCTCCAGATAGGTGCAAGGGAATGTACATCTACCTATTTCGGTTTCTGGCCGATACCTCTTGCCTGCCGGACTATGCCAGATTCTATCTTCCAACCTTGTCCGTTAATGGCCTAGCGGCTTATTCTTGTGCTTAGCAGCAGCACTCCCCTGTCCTCACCCGCTGGAGCTTGACCGTCCGTGCTTCCAAGTCCACCGTCCAGCCGTGGGCCGTGCTCTCTTTCCGCCTCACGACCTGCTGCAAGTCTGCAACACAGCGAGTCGACGCCTCAAAAGCCGGAACCTTTCCCATCCATCAAACTTGAGGCCGGCCATTTTCCATTCACAAATATAAGGGTTCCCTTTCCCACATCTCGCGAGCTACTGCCAACTCTCCTATTTTTCTCTCCTTTGCAACTCTCGCCCCATCCTAGAACAGCAACCCTACGACGCAACGCGCGACCGCCGGTAGTAGTACGCCCGCCCGCCTGTACGACACCCTTGTCGCTCGGCGCCCTCGTTTTCCAATAATTATTATTCAGAATGGCATCAAACAGCTGGCAGTTCGCCGGCGATGGCGATGAGTCCGACGATGACAACTTCAACCCTGCCCCCGCCGACATGTCGGACGACGAGAACAACGACAATGATGAAGAGCACAACCACAACCACCGCCCCGCTGGTAAGACCGTGAGGCAGGCCAGTAGCCCGGTGCCGGACGAAGAGGAGGAAGAAGAGGAGCACGACGAAGAGGAAGACGCGCGCCCGGCCAAGCGATCGCGTCGAGATGACCACGACGAGGACGAAGACGAAGAGCAGGACGAAGAGGAGAACGAGGAGATAGACGAGGAAGAAGAGGAGGAAGAGGAAGACGAGGAGGATGAGGATGATGTTCACGGTGTAAGTTCACCTCATATCCACGTCCACATCGGTTCCACTTTGCAGCGCCATCCAGTTCGCCTGCCGGAAAAGACAGCTCCTGCTGCTCATGCCCCGCTAGCACTTACCTGGACCATCGCATCTGGGACCTCACTAACTTGCTGTCTTCTGTCTGCAGGGCAACCGTCGCAAGCGTCGCAACAAGGACCGCAGAGCTGCCTTCTTCGATATCGAAGCCGAAGTCGACGACGAAGACGAGGGAGAAGACGAAGTTGGTGACGGCGAAGAGATTGAGGACTTCATCGACAATGCCCACCCTGACGATATTGCCGACAGCGGCCGCCTTAACGATGATAGAAGACACCGCGAGCTCGACCGCCGCCGAGAGATGGAGGCCAGCCTCGACGCTGAGAAACAAGCAGAGATCCTGCGCGAGCGCTACGGCAAGCGCGCCCCGGCCAGAGGTTACGGAGACATGGCCATCGTGCCCCGTCGCTTGCTGCTCCCCAGTGTCGAGGACCCCAGCATCTGGGCTGTCAGGTGTAAAGAAGGAAAGGAGCGCGAGGTTATCTTTTCGATTATGCGTCGGATCGAGGAACGCATGGGCACCAAGAACGAGGTCCCCATTACGGCTGCTTTCGAGCGGGGTGGTGTCAACTCGGTCATGAAGGGATACATTTACGTTGAGGCTCAAAGACAGAATGATATCCTCGTGGCTCTCGATGGTATTCTCAACGTTTATCCCAGGAGCAACATGCACCTGGTGGAGATCAAGGACATGCCAGACCTCTTGCGTGTCATCAAGACGCCCAACTTGGAACCCGGCGCCTGGGTTCGTCTGAAGAAGCCGGCCAAGCACGCCGGTGATCTTGCTCAGGTTATCGACGTTACAGAAAACGGCCTTGAGGCCAGAGTTCGTTTCATTCCCAGACTCGATTACGGTGTCAGGGATGATCCCGTCTTCCAGGCTGATGGCAAGCGCAAGCGCCCTGGCGTGCCCGGCCCTCGTCCTCCCCAGCGCCTGTTCAGTGAGGCTGAGGCGCGCAAGAGACACCCCCGTCACCTCCAGGGTAACCCTCAGACCAACAGCTGGAACTACAACGGCGATGATTTCGAGAACGGTTTCCAGGTGAAGGATATCAAGATCCAGCAACTCGAGGTCAAGAATGTCAATCCTTCATTGGAGGAGGTCACCAAGTTCGCCAGTGGGGCCGAGGACGGTACAGAGAATCTCGATCTCAAGGCTCTTGCCGCTACTCTCAAGGATAGCGCCAAGAGTGTCGCCTATGTTCCTGGTGATATTATCGAGGTGTACGAGGGTGAGCAGCAAGGTGTTATCGGCAAGGCCACCAACGTGCAAGGCGACATTGTCACGCTGCAGGTCACCGAGGGTGATCTTGCTGGCCGGACCATTGACGTGCCTAACAAAGGTCTGCGCAAGAGGTTTAGGATCGGTGACCACGTCAAGGTCATCGGTGGCAGTCGGTTCCGCGACGAAGTTGGTATGGTTGTCAAGATTGTGGACGACCGAGTTACTCTCCTTACAGATCAGACCAATACGGAGATCACCGTGTTCAGCAAAGACCTGCGCGAGGCATCCGATATTGGTGGTCAAGGCTCTCTTGGACAATACTCGCTCTTGGATCTTGTGCAGTTGGATGCCACTACTGTCGGTTGTATCGTTAAGGTCGATCGCGAGTCAGTCGTGGTGCTAGACCAGAACGGCGATACCAAGCAGGTCCAGCCGTCGCAAATCACTAACAAGCTCCCCAAGAGGAAGTTTGCTGTCGCTGCTGACCGCAACGGCTCCGAAATCAGGCTAGACGACGTCGTCCGTGAGTATGGTGGCCAGCAACGTCAGGGCAAGATCATCCACGTTCACCGCTCCTACATCTTCCTTCACACCACAACCACCAACGAGAACGCGGGTGTTTTCGTCACTCGGGCCAACGGCGTCACCACCGTTGCGGCCAAGGGTGGTCGCAACACTGCGACTGCGGGCCCAGATCTCAGCTCCATGAACCCAGCCCTAAAGCGCAACCCCGCTGCGAACGGCAAGCAAATGGCAGCCCCGCGGACTTTCGGACCTGATCGGGCCATTAACCAAACCGTAGTCATTAGACGCGGTGGTCACAAGGGCTTGCTCGGAATCGTCAAAGACACGACAGACACTCACGCTCGTGTGGAGCTGCATTCCAAGGGAAAGATCATTACCATTCCTAAGGCTGACCTGAGCTTCAAGGACAAGATCACTGGCAAAACCATTGACATCAACCAGCGCGGTGGTAGCCGTGGTGGCTTTGGTGGTGGTGGCCGTGGTGGCGGCGAGTTCGGAAGCAGGACCCCTATGGCTTCCGGCGGATCGGATCGTACTCCGGCCTGGGGCTCTTCTAGATGTAAGTTGTCTTTGTCTTTGTTATTGTCTCTGTTTTCTTAAAGCTAACACTGTCATTAGCCACAGCCCGTACCCCCGCCTGGAACCGCGACGCCGGCGGCTCGCGCACACCTGCCTGGAACGACGGCTCCCGTACCGTCAACCCCTACGACGGCAGCCGTACCCCTTACGGTGGCGCTACCGCCTATGGCGGTATTGGATCCCGCACTCCCGCGTGGCACTCCGGTTCTCGCACCCCAGCCCCTGATGGCTTCGGCCACGGCTCCAAGACCCCCGCCTGGTCCGCCGGCTCCGACAGCTGGGGCTCCAAAACTCCCGGTTACGGAGCCTCTGCTCCCACGCCTGGCGCGAGTGGCGATGCCTGGGGTTACACCCCGGGCGCGGGCGGCGGCAACTCATCCTCAGCTTACGATGCGCCCACTCCCGGTGGCGGTCTGAGCGCTCCCACTCCCGGCGCGGCACTCAACGCTCCTACGCCTGGTGCGTACTCGGCTCCCACGCCAGCTCCTGTTAGCGCGCCCACTCCAGGTGCCTGGCAAGGTGGTTGGGGAAGTGGTGATGCAGTGAGTGCGCCGACACCTGGCGCCCTTGGTGCTCCTACGCCAGCGGCATACTATAGCGCGCCCACACCAGCAGCGTACGGAGGAGCGGCGGAGACACCGGGAGGTGCACCGGGGTATGCGGATGATGATTAGAGGCCTAACTCCGCAATGAGTCCCAGTCCTAGGGTGTAGGGGTGTGTGTGTGTGTGTGTAATTTGAGGTTTTCTTGTTTGTTGTCAGGCGTTTCATGTTTTGTGTACGTTAGTCGGTCGGACTGTCGTTGATGTCATTTGGAAGACAGACGGGGCAGGACAGGACAGGAAAGGAAAGTCATCAGAGCGCTAGGGATCAATCAATATGAGGGTTGAGGATCGGTACTGGTACTACAAAGGGGAGCAGAGAAAGCATAAGTTACTGCCTAGGTATGATCCAGCGCAAAGGAAAGCAAAGGAAATGAAAGCAAAACAATGGAAAGAAAAGCCAAGCAAAGTCAAGCGAAGGAGAGTTAAAGGAAATTAGAAGGTTAAAATAGCGGAAAAGGTAGTAGTTTCTATAAAGCCTGGGATATGGTATGGTACATATGGTCTTCTTTTTTGGGAACCTGAGTACCTCGGAAGCTTTTTTTGACCTTGAACTTCAGTGACACACACACACTCACAGAACCAGCTGCTTTCATTAAAATTATTGGAGGTTACCGTAATTTCTCTTCCTTCTCTTGAGTCCTGATTGACTACATTTTGATGACTTTACACAATGTCCGCATCTCACTGTCTCTTTCTTACTAACAAAGCATTTTCTCTAGAACTTGATTAAACACAGGGAAAGGAAGAAGACCAAAAAAAACAAAAAAACATACAAC